TAAACCAATCAGCCACAGTGATTGAATTTTGTCTTACACCCAAATTATCCCTTTATCTTATTATGATTGTGATTGGCTGATTAGAGATCGCGTGTTTGAATGTATTCCACCCGGGAAATGCCATCATACAGTTTTTCCCTCACAACAAGACATGAAGTACAGTATTTGCGTGATCCGTGGGGGAGGGGTTAGTACATGGGCCAATTTTGCTGGGTATGTGCTGCTGGCCTCCCACAACCCCTAGCCTATACTCCAAAATTTAGTTCGCTTGTATTCATAATTAAACCAAGATATATTTTAGTACATTTTTTTTTCAATATTTTACTCGGTGATTTTTAATTGTTTCATTGTTCGTTGCAGCATCTTGACCGATATAGCTCCTTTTAAATTCTTTTAATGTAAAACTGGATCAAGTGAACGGCATCACTAGTTGTTTATTTCTTTTTATATCGAAAAAGAGAAAAAAGAAACAATAACAAATATGTCCAAAACTAAGATAGATATTCGGAAACGGGAAAGTTATCATAAATCTCTTCATAATTTTAAGATTTAAAAAGAAAAAGAAACAAAACAAAAAACAAAAAACAAAAAAAGAATAAAGAGAATTTGCGTACTCAGTTTACCCTAGTCAGCGCAACCCGTTTATAACTGTCTTATTGTCAATATTATTATCAATATTACTACTAATTTTCTGCACATTGTTCCTAGAATTTAGGAAGCTGCTGATTGAACAAAACGAGCAATGAAAAAGTCTTAAATTTCTTACTCAAAGCTACGGAGTTGTTTTCCTTAGTGATGAAAATTTACTTGGACTTGAGCGAAACCATAAAATCATTTCATAGTTTGCCAAAATGAAAATTAAAAAAAAAATGGTTCATTTGAAACAGATATGTAACGAGGCTGGTATGGGATGAAGAAGATTATAATGAACCGCAATATTTGGTATTCTGCTATTACTCGCGTTTTTAAATCTCAACAGTATTTTCACACGTTGTGGAAATGAAACCTGGACCGATATTCACTGGGGAGAATTAGTTCTTACCAGTGCCAGAGGTAGCGCTTCCAAAACTGATATGAAAATTCGACCACTGAACTCTCTTAGAACTTTCCGTAAGATACGTAACAACACATAATTAAGTAAATAGTGATTTCCGCGTGTTCTGATCAGTTCAATGTAAAATTCACCCAGAAGAGTCGAATCTTCCATATTCCCTACTTTTACTGCGTTTGTGATCGGCTGATTAGTGATCAAGTGGCCATGCTAGAATTTGCATAGAATCCGCTGGTAAAACATCATCGTAAACTGTTTCCCTCGCGACCAGACATCAAGTGCAATAATTTGATTTGCATCTATAGTGCTGTTGACTCTATTTTATGTTCCTTTCATTGTTTTGGTGTATACTTTGTGAACTATGATTTGAAAATGCTGTAATTCAAAAATTAGTCCGCTTGCTCTCGGAAGTAGCCAAAATATTTCTGAATCCAGTTTTCTCATATCTTACTCAGTGATTTATGGGCGTGGTATGAATTCTACAGAGGTGAAGTCTGCACCGGCCCAATTTGTGCTGTTTTAAACGATAGGGACGTGAAGAAAACTACAAGGTAATGGCAACGAGGAAGTCAAAATAAAGGATATCGTGGACAGAATAATAGTTCTTAATATTATTATTACCATAATAATAGTAATAATAATAGTCAGCGCATACGTTAAACCTTTGTATAGACTTTGTGCGTTCTGACAAAAAAAAACCAAATTCAAATGATTTAAGTTTTCTTTTGGAACTCGATGCCGTCTAGAAATAATGCTCCATTTACGTAGCCTTGGGTACCTGAGACAGCCTTTCTCCCGAGTTACCCCTGGGCCAGCCACCTTTTCACTTATTTCTTTACAAAATTCAGCCGACCGTTTGTAGGAGGTTGTAAACTCGTCTCGGGTAGGCGAGACAACTTGAGGGGGCGAGTCGTCTCACCTCGGCAGGCAAGGTAGCCCGGGCGTGTGGGGCAGCTTTTTCTCATATAAACATCTTGTCTGGCCGACCCGAGACGAGGCAACTGGAATAGAAAATGCGTGCGCACGCCATTACCAGGATGTTTACAACAATTTTTTCCTATCGTTCGCCATTTTATCAAATGTCAAATTCCATATAAACGTTCTGTAAAGTTGTCTCGTGGGGAGAGTGTTTTCTCGGGTACCCTAGACCATATAACTGGGCCTAGGTTATGCTAAAGCAGAGTTGAAGCGCAGTAAGAGATGGTATAGACGTAAAGCCATTCGCGAAATTCTAACTTACTATAAACATTCATTTTTTAATCGAAGTGTTCCTCGGCGTTGTTGTCCTGACTACCTAAGGTCCCTATTAAGAATTACCTTTACTACAAGAAAACACTTGTGTACTTTTTCAATCTCTTTTAATTCCAAAGTTCAGACTTCTAGAATATGCAGATTAGAAAAAGGACTACATCAGACTCAGCCATGTAAGTAATTGGTATTAAGAATGTTTGATTTTTTTCCAAACTTTATAGCATTTGTTTAAAAATTATATTAGTAGAACGTCAAATGAAAATATAACAAACGAATCTTTTTATTGCACCAAAATTATTTCTGAAGGATTTATTTATACAATGTAGCGTTGTAAGCTATTAGTTGAAGTTTATTTCTGTTTTTCTATTTTTCTTTTTTTCTGCCTTTCTACCTATCTAATGATTTTTAAAGTTTTTGTTATTTAATGCTATTAATAATAAAACCATTTTGGATCATAGTACTAAAAAAAAAAAAAATTATCTTTTAAGGAAATAAATTACGATAAAGGGGTATAACAGAGTAATTTCGTTTTATTAACTGAGTTGATAAATCAAATTGGCCAACGTAAAAAGTTTCAAAGATGCATTTTCGAGCGCTAGCCTTTCGTCAGAGCGATAAACTGTTATAAGATAGCTTGTGCGATAACTTGGCGATTTTGTTTCAATGGCAACCCACCAGATCGTAGACCTTCTCCTAAGCTCAAATATTTTCAAGCCTACACTGGTTTTTCATTTAATTTTTTTGCCAGAAAAGCTTCTTACGCGTAATCTGACCAACATGTTAAAGTAGTGAGGTCCATTTCAATGCTGCTTCATTGTTGTACAGAACTTAAGGGGAAACGATCCTTTTAATATCTAAGAGGAGTCTCTAATTTTGTTTTACCTAAGTCAGAATCATTTCAGTTTCAGAAATGATCATTGAATTTTGAGAAAGTTTTAGGGAGTTCTTCGACTGAAAAAAGTATAATTGGATGGACGAAGCATTTCAGGTTGAATATCTGTGGACTTTTGGATGACACCATAACATTAAACAAATCACGTACAGAGCTTTACATAAGGGATGGAATACTAGACTACCATTCATTGTAGACCAAAAATATTTTAATTCATAGGTTGCCTACTACTGCAAATGATGTTTGGTATGAGATAAAATCCCTATTTGGAAAGAGTTATCAGGGAAATAAAAGGTTTCTGCTTTTCTGTAGTTCCACTAGATTTTCATAAAGACCTTTATGACTAAGGGGAAGATAACCTTTACCGCCTTCTAAATTAAGATGCAGCAAAAAAAGAAGGAGGAAAGGGAGAGGTAAACCAATAAGCTGGTTAGGAAATATTTATTAATAACAGGGAAAATGCGCCTTTTAGTTTAGAGAAAGACATCAAATTATAATATATGAAAATGATCGAATAATCAGTGTCATTTAATCAGCACCATACTAATTGCCTTCTTTTAACAGTTATTGCTAAACGTAAAGAAACCGTTCAGGAATCGAGAAAAATCATTAAATTCTTACAAAGCGAAGGCCGTACTGGGTTGGCTCGAGGTCGAAGCAGCACAGACTGAGCGCAGCAACACCTAAGGTAACAAGTAACGTTTTTGAAAACCTCCAAAAAATTGTCACAAGATCTGTGAACAAGAACTTTTATGGCCAGCACATTGAAATAAAACTCTAATCTATTCCAATTAACAAAAAAAAAAATTCACTATCGTATATCGAAGCTTATTTTCCAGATTAAAATCTCAAAACTGGTTTTGACTCCTCAAAAGTAAAGTTTTAAACTTGCAAACTAGGGCACTTATAAACTGAAAACTTTGAAAATATTTAGCAATGCCTTGTTTTGATCCTCGGTGTTAGTGCTGTTCAGCAACATGTAGAAGAGGTCTTCGCTTTTGGTCCATATCCAAAGGACAGAAACAAATAATCGAGAAGCAGTAACGAAGTCGAATGCGAAGGAAACGTAATAACCTTACCAGCTGAGATAAAACAGCAAATGCGACCAAAAGGGAAACTAACGCTGGAGCGAATGCAAGAAGCTAAATTCTAGCCATTCCAATGCTGTCATGTAGGATTTCCCTGGCTCGCTGATGGTAATGCCAAACGAAATTAAGGTTGCTTTGGCCAAATTAATGAAGGACATCACGGTTAATGCTGCGAGAGAACAAGTCTCCGCTTTATTTGCCAGAGGACTATGATAAGGATTCCTTGAAATATGGTGAAGTGTTATCAGCAGGCATGCTGCGGCCATGGAAACCATACGCAACATCATATCTGCGATGAACACTTTAAACACGAGCAGAATGAACCTTCGGCCAATTAGCACACTCTCCCAATATAGCGTTCCTTCGTCATAGCCACTTGGAGGTCTGAAAGGACCATGGAGTATTTCCAAAACATCGCGGTTGACGACTTGCCCTCTGGTAGACTCTTGCATTGGCGTCTTCGATAATTTCTTTATAAACCAATAGATAAGAAACGGCAGAGGGATCATGCAGGCTGCTATAAACTCAGCTCATGTTGTGGAAGATCTTTGGAGCTGGTAGGATCCGTACTACAGGACAATGATGAAGGGGATTAAAAATATTGCAATGTAAGTAAGGAGAAGATATTGCCACCGTTGCATGCAAGGAACATTGACATCGATGAACAACCACTTTCCAGATCCAATGGAGACACAGTTCATTAGCTTTAAAGCCGTTTCTACAAGGCTTTCGTATCCAAGCAACAACACTTCCATGACAACGGCCATATAATGGATAAGGGACGACTTTTCCTTGCCCATAACGACATTAACAACATGATCCACGCCATAAATGAAGAAAGGGCCATCGTCAAAAACAGTGTACCAGAGAGGAGAAGCTCTTTGGTTACTGCGGTGAGTCCCGCAAATGGACAGCCAAGGATTTCATTGACCGATTGAACATGGAAGTTATGGGCAGAAATTACAAAGTGAATGAAAGGTATCTTTCCAATAAGTTTATCCATCGCACCAACCATTACAGTCTCAGCCGCTTGATAGAAATAAAATGTTATTTTTAGATAGCCACTGTCGGGATGTTCACCATCGTCGATGGTGTTGTTTAAGTTGTCTTCTTCCTGATTCTGTTTTGAGTTGATAAACCAAAATATTTGGTTTCTAAGGATGATAAGTAGCGGAGGCTTTATCAATAGATAGAGCGCCAGTAAGATTGTTAGCACCATTGTCACAATCCACACAAAGTAGTTGCCGCATTCTGTTGAATTGCGGCATTCAGTCGAGAAAAGGGTTTCAGTGAAACCTTTTGCACATTGTCCCCAGAGGGTCCCCTGGCAACTGTTGTAATATGTTGTTGCAATTGAAGGACAGTAATCTTCCGGACTGGCTAAAAACTCTAGCGACCGTGGATGTGTGGATGTTGGATAGCCCCAAAAATTTGGCTTTGCTGCAATGTTGTTTTCAATGCGGGTGGCTCTAAATGGACATCGCAGGCAGTGAATAAGATATGCCACAACTAGTCCTCGAGACGCTCCCCTTTTTAGGCCGTAATAACCAGGAGCGCAGGATCTGCAATAATATCTCAGAGAAGTAACGTTCAATATACAAGCACTCTTGTTTTTTTCCGTGTATTGAAGATGTGTATTGTTCTCCAATAGAAGCTTTTGTCCTTCACTGCATTTTATCTCAGAGTTTTGGTCTATATCGACAAACCCCCCACTAGCGATGTCCAAAATCGGATAGGTGCTCCTATTCGTGACCGTGGACATCATAGATGTGTTTACAAGCTTTAACGAACCTGCGCTTTCAGAATAAATGAACGTGCCTGTCTTTGATGCAGCCATGTTGCCAAGAGTCACGTTTTTCTTTGTTCGAAAAAATGAGCAATCAACTAAATATATTCTACCAGTTCCATACGCACAGTACACGTGTCCAGCCCGTTGAATGCCAAAATTGTTGCGGAAGATACATCTTCGGAATGTTGCGAAACCATTACTGATGTAGACAGCTCCAACTGCCACTCCAAAGTTGTCTTCAAAATTGGTATCCTCAAACAATATGCGACTGTTATTGGTCCATGAAGGATGTACTTCCTGACTCATATGTGAATTCATGCAGCCCAAACGCTGCGGTTTATCTGGGCTAAACAAGACAGCAATTGCGCCAGTTATTTTCTGGTAAAAATATCCTGATTTTTTGTTGATCCATTGACGTCCGTAGGCACTGATGCAATTACGAAAGTGTGAGCGCCTTATTGTCACATTTTTCTCCCCTTCGAACAGAAGAGAGAAATAACTGGGTGGTCTATAGTGGAATACATTATTTTCAAGTTCTATGACTGCCTTTGTGGACGTAATGTTTTCAAGTAGTGGAATCTTAAGGGAAATTGCGTAGTTCTTCTTCTTTTGGAACACTTCTACTGTATGGTTACTACTGATAAAGCGAGTGTTCCTGATGAATAATTTGACTGATGTCGGATCATAAAAAGTGAGTATCGTGTCGTAAATATTATCAACAAAAGTGCAGTTTTCAATGAGAACATCAATCGGAAATGAGCAGTTTTTCGGTTTTGAAGATCCTATGTGCAGGCCGATTTTAAACGACATTAGCGTGACGTTCACCATCTTGATGCAGTATTTGGGACTTATCAACAAGGCTTTCTTTTTTTTTATATTGCTGACTATCAAGCTGTCTGAAATCATTGCCATGCCGGCATTACCATTCCCAGCTAGTATTTGGACAAAGATTCCTTGTCTTGCTCTTACAGCAGTGTCCTCAAAAATGCATCTTGAAATTGTCACATTGGTTTTACCCTGCGTGGTAATCACCTTCTATCATCTTCCTTCTAAACGTGGACCGCTCCATGACGACATTTCCATTTTTAAGGAAAACTTCAACAGCCTTACATTTGTGTTTGTACCCATTCCACTGCTCGATGGTTACATTTCTAAGGCCAAATAATAAATTGTGTGGACCTGACCGATTATATCCAACAAATATGGTGCATCCGTTGTTTGCTCTGCAGTAAGAAAAAGTAACGTTAATGCGCTCAATTTTCAAGAATCCTTTGGGACTGTTCTCGAAAAGTGATCCTCCAACGTCTGCTTTATTTTTACGAAAGTGGGAGTTCGTAATTCTCAAAGATGCGTTTATATGAGTCATGAGCGATAGGCTTCAACCTCTGTGCCTTGTTACCTACATGTAACTAAGGCAGAGTCTTGAATGTCTATATCAGCTCTGGAAGACTCAACTTTGATGAAACGCACATTCTTGTTGTAATAGCAATTTAACCTAATGAACTTTGCTCTTGTTTCCCTCGAATGAGAAGAAAGCAAGCTGCGCTCAGGCAAAGACACTTCTGGTTTTAGATTCAGAAAATAGTCTTTAAGATTGAAGTGGTTTTATATCTCTGTAAATCTCGTTCGTAACCGCAGTTGGAACGTTGACACTGATAAAAGGACCTTTATTGCTAATGAACTGGGTTCTAAAGCAAGAGATAGAATTGTAAACTGGATCGAGCAACTTCTTTGCGGCGGACAATATCTTCATGGCTCCTCTTTATCCTTCTGACCATGAAATCCATTTTTTTCGAATTTTGTGTCAGTGATATTAACTTCAAGGAAGCGATTTTGTTCTCTACAATCGTCGAACAACAAAAATTCGAAGCATTGAGAATTATAGCGAAATGATGAGTCGCCGTGAACATCTAACTGAACAGATGATATGTTCTGTGTTTCAATAATAAAAGTTCGTTCAGTATAGCGGAAAGAACAATTATGGATCACGATGCGTTTGCAATCCTTACATATAAATGGAGTCTGCCGAAAATGGATTCCTGAGAGTTTGAACCTCGAGTTTTGTTGCTCATTAACTGTCCACTGGAAATGAAATCCTCTGACGCATAAAACGTGTGGAGGGAAGTAGATTCCCTTAATGGTCAAGCCCTTGGTAACATGAATACCATGATGACAAGCCACTGAAGAATTGGGGTTGAAACAGTCATAGGGATGTTCTAGGGTTCCTCGCCCGTCTTAATAGATGAATCCACCAAAACTAACTCTTTTAACCGCTTGAATAATGGACTTGCATGGCTGATTTTTACTACCACAACTCTCGGAGTCAATCCCGTTACGAGATACATAAACATTCGGCGGGCCTACCCCTAAATCAAAAGAATTGGAAGAACAAAGTCATCAACTACTAGCTGCTGTCAAATTAGTTGCACTTTGTATAATAAACCTCTTATGGAGGCTCCATAGGGTGTTTTGACCGCGGGAGATCTCGTTGCGAACATAGCGGGAGCTTTAAAAGCAACAACATGAAAAACAAACATGGCGCCTCGATACAATGAAACGATTGTTATTTGGAAAGGTGTGTTCAAACAGTTTAAAACCATACAGTTTTTATGTGATGGAGTCTAGGGTTTCCAGTGATAGCACCTGTAAAATCAATAGGTTTTTTTTAGGGTAGAAAAAGAAGCAAACCGAAAAGAAAACACGGTGGGAAAGATTGCCAAAAGACAATAGATTCCAATTTTAAGTATGCGCAGATATAGATCTTAGCGAAGTTCTATTCCATTACGTAATTTTTTGCGACAAAGAAAATAGGGATCCATCGAATAATATTTATTGCGTTTCCCTCGATGAAATTTCCTAAGATTTGCTGGACCGTTAAATATATTTGTGCCCTTCCTAGTGCCTGTTGATTAACAAAAAATCATAAGACCGAATTTGATAGAAGAAGAAAACACGAAATTGCAAATAGCGGGGAAACAACCTTAGAAACTCCTGTTTTTTTTCGGCTTTTAAATGATCGGCAGGAAACATTTCACAAATTGTGAAACTTTTGAGAGATTTCACTGAAGGAAATTGAAAAAAATCAAAGGGAAAGCCAAATTGTCACTGGCGAGCGCCTCCCTTCTTGGAGCCTTAGCTTAATAACGAAAATCATTTTGTTAATATTCACTACAGCAAATGATAGTCCGCACCTTTCTTATCACCTTTTGGTGACTTTTAGTGGCCTTGAAAAACCAAAAGATCAAAATTTTCTAGAAAAACATGACTCTGGCGCGCGCGCCAAAATCGAGCAAAAACCTCATGGAGTCTCCTAAAGCGAGATACTCCTGCATCAGAAAACTGATTACTTTTCCCAGAGAGAGGGGCTTTACCGTTTTGTTTACGTTGTAAGCAATTTAAAGCTTTTTCCTACAACAATTGGTAACCAATATCATATACTGTTTGCTAACCTGCAAACAGTATATGATATGAGGCCCCGGTAGTTCGAAGGGTGAATAACGCCATCTTCTGGACAACTATCTATCCGGTGGACCGCCCTCTACGTTTTTGTTAACACTTATCCGCTGCCGGGATAGCGATTTATCCGTTAGATAGCGTTATGTACCAGAGGTACCCATCTTTGCATAAGAATCGATGTGCATGATACCTTATCACCTCATTTTTCTTCATTTCACTTCATTGATTTCGGAAGTGAACCTGCTGTCTAAAAACACCAAAGCGTAAAATAGATTCGACAGAGTTTTATGTTACCTGAACTTGTGTTTGAGAAAGCCAAAATTATTAGAGCCGTTATGACAGTTTCTTGGCAGGCCATAACAAATCTCTGCGAAGGCAAAAGACTCAAGCATGCATTCCTCCTCCTTCCCTCAGCATTTTTTTTAATTTAGAGCGGATCGATCAAATGGTTGGCAAAAACTGACAGATAGTCGGAAAGCGAAATTCAATCAAACTAAATCTGCATTTCAGACTAATTATCTGACGCATATAGTTTCCGATAACAATTCTCAACAATCCTTCGCTGGGTCACCGATGGGTCTCAATGAGGTTGATAAGGTGAAAATCTTAACTACTCTAACCAAGGGCTGGCCTTGGCAGTGATTATTCAATCTGGACTACAAACCAGCGCGAGCCCTCCTGAAAGACTCTTTAACCGTTAATTATGAAAATTACAATTTCCTCGATTGTGATTGATTTGAAAAACTCCTTTTTTCCACTAATTCGCTTGCCAAGTTGTTATCAGACAGTTTACTATCGGATAGTTCAATAAGCCAATCACGTTCAAAGTTGTAGTTTAAATCAACTAAACATGCAAATTTTCTCTTTCTTTCATAACTTAGCAATTCTTCTTTTCTCGGAAATTGTAATTTTTATAATTAATTGGTAATGAGACTTCGTGTCGTCCAATTCAGTCTGTAATCATTCTCATGATGAACAAATCGGACTCCCGCTACGCAACGTCCGATTTGGTTATCACTCATTTGATTACAAACCGAATTGGATTTCACTTACTCCTATTAGCATTAATTAAATCGTGATTTTTTCGCCACAATTCCATTTTTTGTTTTAATTTAATACCCCCATCCCCTACAAAAAGAGCCCTCCCCATATTGATACCAAACCATTCTTTATGTGCGCTCAGACGAGTAGATATTTTTTACGCTGAGAGGCGTTTTGGTTTTCGTTGTCAATGGTCATGAGATATAACGTGTAAATGGTAGGCTCCTTGGAACTATTGAAAGATTTTTTGGACATTGAATATCTAACACGGTGTAAAATATAACCCAAGTTCGCACAATGGCAATAAAAAACTCTTGATCGGCTCATACATGTTTGTTCACGTGGATCTCCAGACGCAAACGCTACTTGCAAATCGACTGAACACTTCTAGCGAAGTCACTTGACCTGATTACCAACAACTTCAAATTTCTTACCATCATTCTAAATATTGTAGAAAAAATAGGTAGAACAGGATATTATGTCAACTTCGAAATATGTAAATCTGTTTCGCTTTCCAACCAACCGGTTAGATTTTGTATGGCTATCAATTTTAATAATAGATTTTCATTTTCTTTAATTATCAAGTACAGAGTCAAAACCTTATTTAGCCCTCATAATTAAGTCTGTTATTAAATCAGTCGACACTCGGGTTGTCCAGTCCAGGGCTCCATACTGTGGTGTACTGAGGATTAAGTAAAATGTCGTTAACTTTTAATCAAGACAGACTTCATCTTAATACGAGTAGTTGCTTCAGTAGGACCGTTTCTTCACTCCAGAAAACGTTTTAGGCCACGAGCAAGGCCCGCGAGGCGGTGAAAAGTCTCTTAGCGGCGTGCATTGATGATGAGCCAGCTCCCTCGTAGATTTCTCTTTGGCTCGGTTTGCTTAATGCCTTAACAACCGAACATCAGTATGCATATTTTCTATACTGTTCTCTATACATCTCCTAAGGTGCTTGCAAGAAAAATTAGCATAACGATATAGAGCTTCTGTAATTAAAGATTATTCTCGTGACTTTAATGTGTGGTTCAGGGGTGATTTTGTAAGTAGAAATTATATGCTAGTCACTCCTAGGGGTTAAACAGTTAATGCTTTTTCTTTACCCGCGGGCGAGAGAACAGTCGTGCCACAGAGCTAATAGAGGTATAGACGACGTCGTTATTGTCTGAGATTTACATTGAAAGGCTCACTCGTGTCAAAAATAGACTATTAGTGTAAACTCTCGCATAATCACGCGATTTAAATGAATTTGTTTTGAGGAAAGTTACCCGATTTTTCGCTAGTTGATGGGTTTACTGATAAGAACATAAAAAAAAAAAAAAAAACTACTCAAACAAATTGTTACAAAACAATTCTTAAGTAAATCATTAACACATCACAAAGTACTCGCCACTAAGACCACTAATTCTTCATCA